GTATGGGGGGAAAGGAGGGTGGATGTAAACATGGAAGTGGCGGGAAATGTATCAATGTTCCTGCCCAGGGAATGGATGCAGTGAAATAGATGTAGAAGACTTCAGGGACATGGGGGGGGGGGGGATGCCATAATTAGGCTATGTATGGGGGGAAAGGAGGGTGGATGTAAACATGGAACGTTCACGTTCACCAACAGCATTTGACATTTGGCTCACGATATTCGCCAACTCTTATTTTATTTCCTACTGTCAAGGGGTCTTTAAATGTTCACAGTTAGAGAAAACTTGAATTGATTCTCATAAAATATGTGATTTTGAATTTGTATAAGCTTATAAGTGTTGTATTGTAATTTAGATTGAATTCTATCTATTTGAATTGAATTTTGTATAATATGCTTACATTGAACTATGGCAACTACTAAATGATTATTCAATTAATTTGAGTTCTAAGTGTTATAATATTAAAAAATAAACAATATTTATGCATGAATTTAATCTGCTTGAAATTTTGAATTTCCAGTGCATTATGAACTAATTCCATATTTTCAAAAGGTTACCATGGTAACAAGCATACACATTTTCATGTTTCACAATTTCAATGAATATCAAATTAATTCTATATTCCTACTAAAGTGTAAAAATAGAAAATTGATAAGATTTTTCTGCACATTAGTTGATTTTTCGATTTTTTAAAATCTGTTTCCATGGAGACCATTACCTAAAATGGTCTGTTGTATTATATATATGTTATAAATTTTATTTGTAAACTGTTTTAAATACTTTTATTACCAATTGAAAGTCAGTCTTGTTACATTTTGGTAAAGATTTTTTCTGTGATATTTTTAATTGTTAGGTTACTATTGTTATTTGTTGAAAACTAGAATTTTACGAACATTTTACCTTTTGCATGTAAATTATCTTTGTTTGTTGATGACTAAAATAATTATTTAAAATAATTATTAGGTTTAGAGATCTTGAAATATGACTAAAAGAGAAAATTTTGATTTTTAAAATAGATAACTGTGTTTAGTCTTTTTTTCTTCATAATCCACTCTGTTTCCATAGCAACAAAAGCAAGTTTATTGTGGTGATTCATTGAAAATCACATTGTTATTGCGAACACCCAAATATGGTCTTTCAAAATATCCATTGG